CCATCTCTGGCCTCCCCGACGATCTCCTTGTCGGTCTACCTGCCCTCTCTCTTCCTGCAGGATGTAATTCTTCAGATACCTGCGGTGGATGAGATCCTCGATCTCGTCACGGAGATTCTTGTAGATCTTCGTGTTGTGCCCGTGATCCCGGTGGAAGTGACTGTAGGCGTTCGGGTTTCTTGTTGTTGGATCTCCCCTTAGACTGGGTGGCCATTTGACGATGGAGGAGTCCTTGAAAGCCATTAAGATCTCTCCTCTCTTTGCGTTAAGGGGGGTGTAGTTAGTTCGCTCTACTTGAGGGGTCCTGGAACGCCGATCTGACTTGTAGCCGCACGAAGGGGACTTCTCGAATGTGGGGATTTGCTTCATTTTTCTGCTTGGGGACTTACTTTTCCTTCTTTTTTGCTTGCCGTTGCTTGTTCCTTTATCTTCTCTCTTCCTCTTTTCACCCAACGGATTGTCAATCTTCTGGTTGATTTCCTCTTCGGTGCCGATGAACTGATCAGCCAACTTGAGGAACTCAGTGATGTTCTTTGGTTTGTTTGCTACCACGTGCCACTTGAACTCTCTATGGGTGATCCCCTTCTTCGCTGCAATGAGGCACACCGCCGGATCGAGGTCTGGTATCTGCAGGCACGTCTCATTGAAGCGCTTGATGTTGCTTCTGATAGACTCTCCTTCCTTCTACACCACTTTCAGAAGACTCTCCTATGACTTCGGGCACTTTTTACTGGTGATGAAGTGTGCTATGAACAGGTTGGGAAACTGAGCCTAGCTCTTGATGGAGCTTGGTGTGAGGTTCCTATACCAGGTCCGAACTACTCCTCTGAATGTGGTGCAGAAGGCCACACACATGCAGGCATCGTCAACCCTACCGAGGTGCATCTGAGACTGGAAGGCATCCACGTGGTCAGTGGGGTCGAACGACCCATCATACTTGTCTAGAAGGGGGACCTTGAAGTCCTTTGGTATCGGGTCCACTAGGTGCTTGGGTGACAGGTGGGATGGCTGGCTCAGGAGAGCAAGCGTAGTCTTCGTCACCACCGAGCTCACCTCTTCTCTTTCTTTGGTCCGCTCCACTGGCTGACTAGGCCTTGTTTGAGGACTGTTTCTGGCTGAAGATCGATGAGTCTTGCGACGCTGCCGCTATTTCTTCTTCGCTGGATCGGCATTGGTGTTGCTGACCTCAGTCTGGTCTAGTACCTCGACCCTGGTTCTCTCGTACTGCCGAACACTATCGCGAGGTGGATTGGGGTTCCTTCTCGCTAACTCCTCCTGGTTATGAAGCCTGCGCTGGTCATGGTGAGGCACCAAGGGGGCTTGCCTCGAGTCTACGCCCTGGGCTCTGAATTGATGATCTTTTCTTTGTAACCTGTCGTTCTCAGGCCGCGAGTGTTGCGGATGGTTGGCTCTGTCAAGCTACTTGACTTCAAGCCTGTCTCCTGAGTTCCCCCTCTGAGAGACCGGGGAAGTGCGTTGCCCGTCCGTCTTGCCTCGTGGTGGAGTCTGGTTCCTGGGAAGTATTGATACCTACGATGTCTCCTCACCCCGATGGGGAGATTGATGGACATCCTACACGGATCTATGCGGGCTTCGATTCCACCCCTTACATTGAGTGGTATTTCGAGGCAGAACCGGTTGTTGGCTCGAGTGCAGGAGTGGAAATTGGTACTAGTAGAGAAAGTATTGCTGAAATTACTGGACTTGTTGCATCTGGATCTGCACTGTCCAGACACATTGAATTTGGTCATAGAACTGAGAGTGCCTGACCCCAAGGGGAATCACAGATGGCTCTAAGAAGGCGGTGCCCACCCGGGGGAGCAGGACACTCACTTGCGGGGTGGTCTGCGACATAGACAATGATGGGACCCCCGAAGCTATGAGGGGAATGGTAAACTGACCGGTACACACCATAGGACCTTGAGGGAGAGTTGATTGTTGATCTTGCCCCCCGGTGACGTTAATGTTGATACCTTTCCCGATGTTGCTGGAAGAGTCCATTGAGAGTAAGATAGAGGTTGGACTGATCTTTCAATCAGTTCCCACAAACTGTGCCAAATGATGGAGCACGATCTGGATGCTCCTAGCTGGAGGATGATTTTTAACTTGGATGCGTGGTGAGCTGGTTCGGTCTGCAAAACAGTGAAGCTCAGAGAACCCGGGGTGGTTAACCCGGCGAGGTCGCTCCGCTACTTAAGTTTGTATTGCAATCTGAAAGTTGAATGATAAGTGTACTAGTGAGCAAATAATCACGTGTACCTGGGCCCTGGAAGGGTTGTTGCCCTTATATAACTGAATTGCCATGGGTTTCACGAAACGGTTTCGAGATCTTCGGCCTGAGTTGATGATATCCGTTTTCATTTTAGTTGGGGACTAACATGTTAGTTAATGAAGTCTATCATCTCCGCCCAATCCAGGCGGGGAGAGGATAAGGACAACCGTTATGTGGCGTGATCCCATGAGGTTCGGAGTCCGTTGGGAAGTTTCTAGAGTTATTTTTGTCATTTCGGTTCTTGGGCCCCGAACTGGATTAGGTACCGAGGTGCCTTTATGCCAAGGTGACTGAACACCCGAGCTCTAAAAACAGCTGAGTAGGCTGATCTTGCTAAGTTGTCATATTTCGGGCAGATCGCGTCCCCATGACCTTTACTTATTAGGTCGTGCCAAATTACCCCTCATCAATTGCCCCCCACTCCTCGTGTTAGGGGTCCTGACCCGGCGTGGGGAGTTCATGACTAGCCCAAGTGGATTTGGCAAAAGTTTATGTGATGTTATTATTAATAATTAATCAATCAATTATTATGATAATAGTTAATGAATTATTAATAATATGCATTATTTAATTGTAGAAATTATCAATTAATAATTAATGATTATGATTAATTATTAATTATTAGTATTAAGTATTAATTATTAATTAATTGTTAATTATTAAATATATTTCATTAATTAATTAATAATAGTAATTCATAATTAAGTAATAATTAATTATTATTACTTATTATAATTAATTAATCAATGATTATTAATAATAGTTAATTAATTTTTAATAATAAATATTAATTAATAATAATAATTATTAATTATTAATTGGTAATTAATGAATAATCATTAATTTATTATTTATTATTAATAATTTTTAATAATTAATATTAGGTAATATTTTTTATAATATTTTTATAATATTGTTTATTTATTGAATTATATAGATAAATATAAATTCTCTTATATGGGGTTAAATTGGACATTTGACATTTTTCAGAATTCAGAACAACATTATCTACATTTAGAGTTCAGAGGAAAAAAAAGTTCACTAATACCAATTAGTGAACGAACAGGTCCTTAGAGTACAATTACATACAACTACCACCACGTTACTACATCATGATGATTGGTTTTGGGGTTGGACTCAATTTAAATCAAAATCAATTTGGATGGATTGGATGGACCAATAACACATTGAATTAGACCAGTCCAGACTTAATGATCCAAAATGTTTATGAGATTGAATTGTATCTAGTCCATTAGAAATGGATTTATGGTGGATTGGATTGGATTGAACTAATATTCAATCCCTTGATAAAAAGATAAAGAATAGATGTCAATGGACCAAATTTGTGTTGAAATCAATCAAATTTAAAACCAATTTAAGCATATTGATGGGTCCGAACATTAAAAATGGCCTAGTCCAAAATGATCTTAAACTCATTAGATTGAGTTGGACCCGATCCATTTGTAATAGACTCATATTGGACCAAATTAGATTAGACCGAATCCAACCCAATTGATACCCCGACTTTTGGGAGGGATTCTGCAATTAGAAAGAAGCGGCGATGGCTGAGCATGCATGTTCAGTTGGAGTAACTTCACTCAATAGTCATAAAAATGGCATTTTCTTGTGTGCATTCAGGATTTATACCAAACATAACTTATGCATTTTACATGGTGGGGTAGGGTTTGTTGGGAAATGGGGCACTAAAACTTGGAAGAGAAGTTTTGCGGCACGTCTGAAGACATTGTCTTTAGAACATTATTTGTTCCACTCAGTTTCATTGAGTTTGCTGTTGGGTTAGTAGCAAATTCATTCCTAGGATACAACGGAGCTTTGGGAGAGAATCTGCAACTAACAAAGTTGAGGAGTTTCTTGAGAAACCTTGTATGAGATAGTAGTAGACCAGACTAAGAATGAAAAAGAAAGTGATTTTCTCGAAATTGTGTATGGAATGCTTGATTCACGCTGATTAAATAGTTTCTAAAGAGTTATAAAGCAGAGGAAGGTGCCGGTTCAGGGAAAGACATTTTGAACAATCACAATTTCAAACATTGTGACTGTAGAAAAGATAATTAACAGCTAATGACGGTTAAGTTTGAATTGTAACTCTTGATCACACTCGATCAAGTAATGGGCATTGATCGCATCAACAGTGAACATTGCACCAAAAAGCCAAAGCGAACTCCACACCCAATCAAATCGTGCCCATCAATCATACTAACGGCGAGCAAAGTGTGCCTCATTGCCCTGCACACACACACACATTGTACGGTAACAGGTCTCCATACTCTCCTCTTTTATACTAAAGAATTGTAAATCAGCTCCTATTAAAAAACCCATAAAACTTTTTGTAATTTTACAATGGAACAAGTTAAAACTAGGTTTAATAAAAGAAAAGCTATTTTTCAAAACATGTGTTCATATTTATTTTGTCATATAATTGACCAATCAAACGATTTAATCTTTAATGAGAAATCCAATAGGGTTCCTTCGGAAACGCAAGAAGCTGCTGTGCGGAAGCCCTCCCAAACGGGCACGAAGACTGAAAGCTTCCGGTTTTGTAAAAGGAAAATTGAAACTCAATGAGAAGCGTCGGATCAACAAACTTGGGATGGCTGGAAGTTGTTGGCTAGCTCGATCCGTTTACTTTGTACGTAGCCAATAAAATCGAGCCACCTCATTTATCATTGCAGCTCCTTTTAAATCTGGTTCGCTCTCTGGCTGAAAATTATTCAAATATTTTTGAAATCATCCGCAATCGTTTGGGTTTCACGAAGAAATGGCGAAAGAAGCGAGTGCAGTTCCCGCCGTGACGAAGAAGTCGAAGTCTAAATCTTCAAAGCTCCCTTCACCTCTCCATCCCCCTTACTTTCAGGTTGTTTTCTCCTTATTTCCTCCACTTCCTCATTTTTCATTTCTCGTTTTTGTCTAATGTTGGGGGTTGTCTTTCCAGATGATTACCGAAGCCATATCTTCGCTGAAAGATCGAACGGGTTCGAGCCAATATGCCATTGCTAAGTTCATCGAAGACAAGTACAAAACAGAACTTTCCCCAAATTTTAAGAAGGTGTTGTCTGTGCAGCTGAAAAAATTCTTGAAATCGGAGAGGTTGGTGAAGGTCAAGAACTCATTTAAGATCTCTCCGATCGAAAAGGCAAAGTGCTTTGCATTTGAGATCAAACAAAAGCAGAAGAAGAGCAATGCGGAGGGGAAGAGTGGAACGGAGAAGACCGTAAAGAAGAATAAGGGGGTGGAAACAGCGAAGATGAGGGTGTCGAAGAAGCTATCATCAACTCCCACGGGTAAAAGCAAAACATTGATGCCTAAGGGGAAGAATTCGGCGAAATTGGTGAAGACGAAGAGGCTAAGTCAGGTTAAGACTCCCGATGGTCGGAAGAAGATGGTTTCAACACCTAAGAAAAAGGCTTCCATCTCTGTGTCTAGTAAGTCTTCGAAGCCCACTCCTAAGAAAGCTCGGAAGGCCTAAAGATGTATATCCCTTATTCTGATTCCTTTCCTGTAAATGGTTTTAGTAGTGGAATTGGAGTTGGTAATTTATATAGTGGAAGTTTTATCCCTTGGAAATGTTGTTATTGATGGCGGATTTGAATAGGAAATTACTCGTTTTGTCTCTGCAAATTTTCAGGTTGCTTGGGACTGGGTGTTTACTACCGTTTCGTTTATGTTAATGTGTCATGCCTGCTACATCAGCAAATAAACGGTATCGTTAATAAAAATGACAATTAGTGGTCCTGATTTTTAAGAAATTGCTTTTTGTAATAATTAGTTTTCGGATTCGAGAAAGGAGGGATTTCTTAAAAGTGTTAATTTTTTTTTTGTATATTTTTTAATAAAATAAATTAAATCAATCACTTATGAATTGGGCCCATTTGTGGAACGGAATGGTCATCTCTTTTATGATTAATATGTTTATCCGTTGCTCTTATCTCTCATTTATCTTTTTTTTTAGGATAAATTTTTTAAATTACCCTTATAGTTTAGCTAATTGATATTTTTCAATCAATTGAATAATTGTGAAATACTAATAGAAAAATGATATATCGAGTTTGCCCTTCTCTATTTCTCAAAATTCTAAAATAAAATCCAAATGATGGAAATTTCAAAATTATTTTCCTTTTTCGTTCTTCTTCTCTTTCAGATTTGTTGCTCCCAAAGATTTTGTTCTTAGGCGTTTCTCTATTCCCGTTGTCTCCATCTTCTTCTTCCTTTTTTGTGTTATTGAATATTAGGTTTAGTAGACATAAATTCAGAGAGCTACTGTTAACAACAACTGAGTAGCGGGTCTTCTATTTTTTTCAAGAGCTTCTTCTAACCACCACACCCCTTCTGGAAAATTAAAAAAGAAAAAAAGGAACCCTAAATATTTGGCGTTGGTGCGACCTTATTAAGGAAACCACCCAGATATCTGAAGTTGTAGGCGTTGTAGTTGAGAATAGTGTGCATACAGCCATGGGTGGATGTTTTCTGGAATAAATGAACAATGTTTTTAATATGCAAGGAGATTGCTCATTGTATGAAAGGAAATCATACAACTGAGAGATGGGCGAAACTAGAGGCGATCGGGGATGAAGACTTCTTCCAAAAAATCATTTTGTCATATGTGACATAAAGTTAATGACACGGGAAAGGTAGAGTAAGGGTAGTTTAAGGTAATATGTAAACATGATGGATAGAGTAACAGTAGTTTGAGATAATATGTAAATTGGAATGATGGAGTAGTCAATTAGTTAAACCATTAGGGTAATTTAAGAATTTTTCCCTTTTTTATATTGTCATCTTAATTAGTAATATTTTCCCATGGCAAATGATGATCATTTTCGACCTTGCCAGCCCTTCCTTCAAATTTATAGGCTCGGTCTAGTTTTGAGTACGTGTCCTAGCTGAATTTGGTAATTGCAATCACTTATTCGGAACTTTATTATAAAAAATATACAAATTTTTTAAACAACAAAAAAATTAGAGAATTTAAAGTAGGTTTACCTTGAAGGGGCTGAAGGTTTGGGCTAGCATTTTTGTGAAGTGAAAAATTGGCCATCACTCGGTAGTTTGGAAAGGTTTGGGTTAGCATCAACAATTTACCCTATATAATGTTAGGGCAAATATCTTAAACTACCCTATTGTTTAGCTAATTGACTAACTTTACCTTTACTATTTATATATCATCTTAAAATACCCTTACTATTTTTTAAAATTGAGTAATTATTCCCCTACCGCTAGGGTTCCATCATAATCCATTCACATGTCACACCACATGGCTGTTATATTTTGAAAAAATAATAGTAATACCCTTGTCTTCGTCCCTGATGCCGGTGCTTTTTGTTTGAAATGTGAGTGGTGTATTAGTGCTTGTTGTCTGAAAATTGGTTTAAGGAGCTAGGTATATAAATGATTTTTTTGGGGATAATAGCATATAAGGGCAACTTTTAAGCCTTAATATCAGTAAAAGTAATATTTAAAAAAAAATTAAAAAATACAGTAACTTTTGAAAAATAATATCAATAAAGGGCAAAATCGTTGTTCATCTTCTTCTTCTTGCAGTCTATTCACCAGTGCCGTCTCTCGCCGCTGCCCATCGTTGCCTCCGCCTGTCTCTGGCCACCTCCGCTTCCGCTTCTCTTAACGTTGCCAGAGGTGGGCGGAGGCAGAGGCGGCGGAGGTGACACTGGTGGTTATTTCTCTACCCAAAGCCGCCACCAGCGCCGCTGCTGGCTCTGTCTCCACCCACCTCCGGCAACATAGGTGGGCGGAAGTGGCGGTGTTGGGCAAAGAAATAACCACCAACACCCTCGCTGCCGTTGCCTCCGCCCACCTCCATCAACGTTGCCGGAGGCGGAGGTGGAGGTGGGCGGAAGCATTGCCGGAGGCGATGGACGGCGGCGCTGGTGAATAGACTGCAAGAAGATCTGCCCTTTTTTGATATTATTTTTCAAAAGGTACCCTATTTTTAAAATGTATTACTTTATTGGAGCCCAAAAATTGCCCTTACATGCTATTATCCCTTTTTTTGTGATATTAGAGCCCAAAAGTTGCCATTTTTTTCCTAGTTTTTCTCAAAAATAAAAAAAATAAAAACTTTCGATCTCCCTCCCATTTTGGTTCGCCTCCACCGAACCCTAGGCTAGCCCATCCATTGGCGATCTCACTCCACATCGGCGTCCGTGAATGCGGAAGCCATCCGCGGTGAGAGGGAAATTTGCCGGTGGTCATCATTGTATTTTTGGTGCGTTCTCTTCTTCTTCTCATATCCTCATATTATTGTTGTTTTTGTCAACGATTCTAAGAACTATTGCTCCGAAGCCGGCAGCAGAACAAACATACTCTGCCCAAGCCCTACCCTGTTACCAAAACATCGGCGAACAACACCAGCCGACGTCTGGCGGCGAAAACTTAACCAGCGACCAACGGTAAGCTCCTCCTACTATTCTTCCTCTTTTGCTTCTTCCCTGCAAGCTCCTCTTCCCCCTCTGTATTCCTTGTTACATATTTACTTGTTTATGTTGCGGGTGTGTGGAGTATGGTTTTGGACATTAAAGCATAGGCTACTTGGTCTTAGAAAGCTGAGGGACCTTGGTTTCTTAGATCTTTGTTTATAGAGGAAATAGTTGTATCTTCCAAGCTGAATTGCCCGTTCATCTGGGTTTGCAGGTCTGCCAAGAACTTGGCAGATAATCGAGAAATACTGTAACTTCCGTTAGAGTAACTTGGCAGGTCTGCCAATCTAACTTGTAATTCACATCTCCGAGACGAAGGGAAGGAAATACTGTAACTTCCATTAGAGTAACTGTCTTGGAGAAACTTCTGATACCTCCGTTTTTCTCCTGACAGAAACGATTACAGAGATGATGACAGCGACGGAGGACAAAGAACGTCCAAATCTACGCGGCGTACGGGCAATAGACGTTAGAAAGCGAAACCCGAAACTGTCAAGTGGAACAAGAGGTGGAGAAGAGGTTGATTTTTCCGCCGAAGTCGAAAGCAGATTCGATTATGACATGGCTCGAATCAAATAAAAACCAGTCGAACTAGGAGGTTTTGGACTTGGAAGCCTTGAACCCACAATTTCAGGGTAAACAAATCAAATGCTTACATTCAAGTAAGCATTACAGGCTTACAGCTCAACAAAATGAAACCTAAAACAGGGTATTATGAGTTGCTAAGGGATCTTCAACCTGTGGAAGGTCCTGTGACTACTGACTGCTGGTGTGAGCTACTAAGGGATCTTCTATCTGTTTGAGAAGAGGAGCAAAAATAACATGAAGAAGAAGAATAAGGGATATTGGAATCTTTGGAGAGATTGGAGAGTTCCTTCCGGAATGCTGGAGTTCTTGCCGCCGTTCAACAGTCATGGAGACAGGTGTGTGGTGAGTGGCCGGCGAGATGCTTGGGTTAGGACTCGGAGGAGAGGATGACAAGAAATGGGGAGAGTTGAAGTGACCTTAAAATTTTGAAAGAAAACTTTCGATTTTCGTCCTTTTGTGTCCGGTTCAACCGGATCCGTTAAACTAACGGGTAAAGGTCCGTTAACGGTATATTTTGCTTGCATAAGCCAACATGTCTCCTCTAATTGGTGGGTTCATAAGTTCAGTGCACCCAGGCATGCATAGAACGCGGACTCCTGCAAAAGAGGCTAGTTCACTATTTATCTTGACTAAGACATACGTTGGGTCTCAGCAACAATCTTTTCAACAACTCTGTAGCACCGTTTTTTCACGACGATAACATAGTTACGGAACTGACTACTGAGGAAGTCTAGACCTAGGAAAAACCATTGTCAGTCCCTGGAACTGCAGTGAAAACACCACTGTTAATCCCAGTTGAAAATTCGGGGTTTGGCTTTGATTGAAAACTTGGGGATTTTTGAAGGGAATCCCTGTTTTTTCTCCCTTTCTTTGCAACGATCCACTGCTCACAATCCATTGCCACCACACTACTCCTTCCTACGTTAGTAGTCCGGCATCACTTTTCATCTTCACCAAAAAGCACCTATTCATCACGTTGGCCTCAAAGGGCGACCCCTTGTTCTACTGCTACACGAGAACCCTCGGAAGAAGGAGCCCCGATGGATCACCTTACTTCCCTCATCTTCAAAGCTCTCTGCCACGCTGACCCTTGCATTGAGCGAGAAAGCAAAATATATACCAGTTGTTAACCTAGCTGCCAACAACATCCTGTTCATTATTTCTCGTTCTAGTCTAGTGTGGTTCCGACAACCAGTTGTCGGCGTAGGTCAGGTATACGATAGGGGCACGAAACCAGTTTCAGCGGTTGAAGCCTATCCAGATGGTGAGTTTGCTGGAAGACATAGCAGGCCGACGACGATAGCCAAGGCCAACGAGTATGACCTCATCGGTGCGTCAAATGCACATGTCGACCACATCCTATATGACCTCATCATCTATTTGCTGCGGCTCCGACAGGGCTTTGGTGCTTGCCAGAGAAATGGCCGCCGCTTTTATTGCTGAGACCCATCGTCTGTTTGCTGCGACTCCGACGGGGATTCGGTGTTCGCCAGAGAAATGACTCCCGCTTTTGTTGCTGAGACCCAACGTCTGTTTGCTGCGAGTTCGGCAAGGATCCGGTGAGCAGACCGTCCGCCACCGGGGTTGCAGTGCACTAAT